TCATTTTTTGATTGTTAAAAGTACAAAGAAAACAGACAGTCTTACCATTTCTAATCAGACCTGGGTCATCCCCTACGCACCTTGAACCCCAACCATGAATCCAGCCTCTACTTCCCCTCTCCGTGCTCCAGGGCCCACCCACCCCATTCCCTGCACTGCAGCCATCAGGCCAGACCCGACCACCTGAGGTCTCCACGCCCCTGCAAAGTTCCATACAAGCCCCGCATGCTCAGCGCACCCAGACCCCCTGGCTCACTCGAGTCTGTGAGCATAGATCTCTAGTCCTTGCCTCTGGCCTCTGCACTGACAGTCCAACATCCTCTAGAGACCTCCCAAGTTCCCTGACCCCCAGGGTGTTGAATGGATCCTGGAAGGTCCAGGTTCCTGACAAGAGCACCCCCTGTAGACAACAAGCTCCTCACGTCCAGCAAAGGGAAGGTAAGCAGTAATAGAGCTAAAACCACACTCAGTCACCTAAGGGAAGGCACTGCAGTGCTCACCCAGTGCCTTGCACAGTTCCGGATGCTTGACCCCGATGGTTTTCAACCTCTGCAGCAGCTCGGAGGAGGTCAGTTGCCGCACCAAATATAAGGCCACCGAGTAACTCTGGGGATAGAGTGGGGAAGGGTGTTAGGGCCAGGCAGGGTGAGCAGAGGTGGGATAGGGGTGGCAGGGCTGATGGGGCAAGCAAGTGGGCAGCACCCACACCACTCACCTTGCCATAGTTCCCCCAGGTGACGGTGATGCGGTTGGTGGCCGAGGACAGGTACATGAGGTGAGTGAGGTTGATGGGGCGGCAGGGCCTTTTAGGCTCCACTCCGGGCTTATTCGAGGGGTAGTAGCCCTGGGAACAGGTGGAGGCTCAGCCACCGTAGATGGTCTGTGTCCCTGCCCTTCCCTCCATGCTCGCCATCCCAACAACAGATCGGGGCTGCCCTGCTCACCGGGACTGAGCAGTAGCTGTGGTTGACCTTCACAGCGATGTTGGGTGGGTACTGGTCCTCCTGTGGGCTGCTGGTGTCTGAGTAACAGATTCTGCAATGACAACGGGTACCATGGGGCTGAGGGCAGGGGAAGGGCCCTTGGGAGAGGCAAGGATGACAGACCGGGCTGCATCTGGCCTGATGGGCAGATCACAATGCTGGGCTGCACAAGGGGATCTCAGGGCCCCACGTCTGGCCTGAGTGGGGACGGACAGTGGTGTGTCCACAGCCAGGGAAAGCCACTAGGAAGAAGGGAGGAACAGGCTCCACCTCTAGCTGGGAGCCTCAGAGGGCTGTCATGAGGAAGGGGGACCTAGCTTCAATGCACTTGGGGTGGGACACAGCAGGACTGTAGCCACCCAAGGCGGAAATAGCCAAGGGTTCCCTCGGGGAGCTGGCACACCTGGCTTACCTTAGGACGACCTGCACGGCCTTGACCCCAGGCTGTAGTTCTCTGTGCCCCAAGGAAACCACAGGGAAGGAGAGGAAAGGAGAGGTCAGTGAGGTGGGAGTGCACCATGCCAACCCTTCAGTTGGGTGACCACTGGCCTCTCCTGGGCAAGCCAGGCAGCCTAACCCACTACCTCCCTTGGAAACGAAGGCCAATAGATACCACCTAGAATGTTCTCTCCTGCCATTTACTCACTGGTCACTTGGGGCAATGACTTCCCCTCTCTGGACAATGGGGGGCTGGTTTGGCTATTAAGTAGGTTGGTGGGTGCAGGCCTGGCATGTGCTGAGTGCCCCAACAAGCGGCTGCTCCAGTGGTGACTGCTGTCTCAGCTGGAGATGGAGTCTCAGAAAGCAGGGTCGGAGACCTGGGGACAGCCCAGTGTCCTTACCTGGGCGACTCTGCCCCAGGGGACACTGGCTATGTCTGGGACTGTGGTCATCATGACTGGGGGTGCTTCTGGCACCAAAAGGGTGGAGGCCAGGGATACTGCTCAATACCCTACAGTGCCCAGGATGGCCCCCCTCAGAGAATGACCTGGCCCTGATGTCAACAATGCTAAGGGGGACAGACTTTGTTAAAGGGAGACACTGGCCCACCTCTCGGAGCTGCTGATTGTGCACACAGACCCTGATTGGAGTGGGGGTGAGAATGCAGGTTCTGCATCAGATCTGGCTGAAGGCTCTCCTAGGTCACCTGAGACCACACCCACCCACCATCTAGCATGGAGGTCAGCAAAGGGTGGGGCCAGAGCACCTGGAGTTCCTTATCAGCTCCACCTGTCTGGGCGTCAATGCGAAGATGCATGGGCTCTCTTGAAGCTTCTCGTTATTCTGTGGAACTAAACACAAACATGGGGTCAGGGTCATGTCTGGTCCCTGGCAAGGGATCTCGGTCATTTCTACTGCTTGGCCCCTTTCAGGCCGGGAAGCAGGAAATGGGAGACAGAGTCCTACTAGGCAGGGATGAGGGTGCGAGGGAACCTACTCTTTCTTGGGGCCAAACCTCAGCCCCTGGTTCAGGGAATATTTGCCACTCACCCACCCCATGCCCCCCACCAAGGGTGACTCTCAGAGCAGTAGCCTTATCATCCCTGTGGAGTTCAGGTGTTTGTTCAGGAAAACTGTTAACTGCTACTCTAGGGGAGAGTAGCAGAGAACTGCTACTGGGAGGATGCAGCAGAGACAGGCACGTACCCTTGAGCCAGGCTGCTCTCTTCAGGTCTGTAAGCACCAGCAACAACTCTGTCCCCACCTCGAACGGCTGTTCTGACACATTCGGTGAGCACGTGCCCATCAGCACAGACACTCACACATACAGGAAAACGCTCACAGTCATACATTACTCAGAAAACTGTTAACCACCTGACTGCGGGCCAACGGGATCTGGTTAAGACATGCCACAGGAGGTCTCATACAAAGGAATACTATGCAACTGGGAAAACAGGTAACAAAGGATCAAGATGCTCTTTGTGTTCCAATAAGGAGTAACCTCCAAGGTGTTTGGTTACCTGAAAGTAGCAGATGCAGAGCCCTGTGTTTATCATGCTGCTACGTGTGCAACCAAACAGAGGGAGGGGGTCTGTGCAAGGGCACACTGGCTTATTTGTGCAAGAGATGTCTCTGGGGGAGGGGGTGCGAGAACTGGCCACAATCACAGCCTCCGAGGACTGCGAAAGGTAGGAGGGAGCTTTTAAAATTTATACTGCAAATCCTTTAGAACAGGAGTGGGCAGACTGTTCTATAAAGAGCTGGAGTATAAATATTTTTGGCTTTTTTGGGCCACAAGGTCTCTGCCTTGATGTCCTCACTCTGCCTTGTATCATGGAAGCTGCCAGAGACAGTGAGCGTTCAAATGGGTGTGGCCATGCACCAATAGAACTGGTTTAGAAAAACAGGCAGCCAGTGGGGTTGGCCCCCACCCTAATTGGCCAACCCTGTCTTAGAACCTTTTGAATTCCAAACCACAACAGGTAATCTATTTAAGCAAATGTGATTCAAACTTAAAACCAGCTCCAGCTTAGAAGCCAGACTGGCTGAGTTTGTACTCCAGATCTGTGAGGGGCCGTGTACTCCTATCCTGGTCCAAGTCTAGGTGCCCTCCATGCGTAGGATCCACTTCTCGGAGTGCACAGCCAAGTCTGTAGCTGGTGTGGTGTAAGAGGTGGCTGCTGCCATGGCCACACTACTGCCCATTCATGCTTGTGTGTTGAGGGCCCTGCTGGTCCCTTCAGAGTCCTGGTTGGGGTCCTGAGGAGGGTCACCTAATTGGTTATGGGGACACTGGCAGGCTGCCTGCAGACACCTCAGTCAGGCCTGCCCAAAGAGCCCAGGGGCATTTGTGGGGGAAGGTGAGGCTTCACATTATCTGAGCTGTCAAGACTGGGTGGGAGGTCAAAGATACCACCCCACTTCACACTGACCCCCAGGGAGAAGGGAAAGGGACCCCAGCAGGCTTCTTGGGAGCCACACACTCCTGGCCAGGGGGCTCTGCCAGCAGTAACAGTGTAAGAAAGGTGACCAAGCCTGGCCAATGTGGCTCAGAGGTTTAACATCAACCCAGGAGCCAAGAGGTCTATAGTTCGATTCCTGTCAGGGCACATGCCCGGGTTGCGGGTTCGATCCCCAGTAGGGGTCGTGTGGGAGGCAGCCAATCAATGTTTCTCTCTATTCCTCTCCCTTCCTCTCTAAAACATTATTTAAGAAATGTGGGCAAGCTGGTGGTGGAAGGACCAGAACCCAGGGTCCCTTTCCTGGAATGGCCCCTATTTCTAGGTGAGGCTGCTGTGAGGACTCTGAATCTAATTTTCCGCTGTGTCATTGGCCTGGGGTGTCCCACTGCTCCCCCAGGAAGCCAGGTGACTGGCGGGAGGTGAGCTGCCACCTCAGCTGGGACAAGGCATACTTTACGCCACCATTAGGAGGGGGCTGGGGATTCCCCAAAGCCAGGCCTTCACCAGCTCCACCTTCAGCTGTTCAGGGCTGAGAAGTGGACATCATCCATGACTCTTGTCACATCCCCTCCCACATCAATTCCTCAGCCAGCCCTGTTGGCATTCAGTGCTCTCCTCTCCCCACCACCACTGCCTGTTCTGATCAGTACAAATACCACTTGCTGGTCTCCAGGCTCCCGGGGCTCACTGTCTGCTACATAGGGCCTCGGGGATGATCTGTCCAGCTCTGTAGCCATAATTCCACAGCAGCTACCCTGGATTCCTCCTATGCTCCCTACCTGTCAAATACATCCCCCCTTGAGGTCTTTGCATGTACCACCCCCTCTTCTAGCTAGATCATTCCTCCCTCAATGATCTCCACCTCCCTGGTATCTTCTAAATTTGTGAAAATGCACTGGGAAGAAAGTCTTCCCCAAGCACCTTTATTTAAAAACTGTACCAAAAAATAAATATAAATAAATACATACATACATACTGTCCTGGCCGGTGTTCTCAGTGGTTAGAGCATCAGCCCGTGCACTAAAGGGTTGCAGGTCTAATTTACGATCAAGTGCATGTACTTGGGTTGCAGGTTCGATCCCCAGGCCTGATCGGGGTGTGTGCCTGAGGCAACCAATCAATGTGTCTCTCACATTCAAGTCTCTCTTTCTCTCCCCCACCCCGCTCCATTTCACTGTCTCTAAAAATCAATGGAAAAAATGTCCTCGGCTGAAGATTAATAAAACAAACCTACACCACCACCCTTGCAATTCTGGCACTCCCCACCTCCTTCCCTGCTTCATTTTTCTCCAAAACCTTTACCTCCTAAGAATCAGCACAATGGTCAGGTGTCTTTGGGTCATCGTGGGCACCAACTGAACCAGAAAGTACTTCAGTTGTCATCCACGCTGCTGGACACTGGGTAGTTGTGGATATACGCCCGCTCAGCCCCTGCTTACAACCACATGCCTCTGCACCTCCCAGGGACTAAAGGCGGGAACCGCTTGCTCTGAGTCCTCCAGGGAATGGGAATTCTGGGAACCAGCCCCTGGGCTAAATCTGAGATACTGACCAACAAAGAGGGCCCACATATCCATCTCCACCCCAGGCTGCCAGGCAGCCTCGAACACTGCACCAGCAAAGAATATTTAAGGACCTGAGCAGATGCTCACAATATACTGGGGTGGGGTGGGAGGAGGATGACAAAACAACAGTCAGGGTACAGCCACATCTTCATAGGATTGCACCATGGAGAAAAGAAGGCAGCAAGCCCACTCGGCCAGTAGGGATGCTCCAGGGAGCACAGCCACAGCTGGTTTCTCTACTACCACCCCATGTTTTCTACGATGAACACATAATTTTACTAAGTTTAAATGAAAAGAAAAGGAGGATTTGAAGAAGTCCATTGATGGGACTGGTCTTCCATCTCACAAGCCTGTCTGCTGGCAGCCTGGGACCTGGGATACCATAGGACTGTCTAGGCTCCCACATCACGGAATGGAGCTAAGTATGTACCACACTGGCTATGCGACGGCAGGCCGGCCACTGCACCTCAGAGATCATACCTGCCTCAGAAAGAACTCAAGAAAACAAGACCTGGAAAAGTTCATGGGACCTTCAGCAACTCCAAACCCGTTGGGACAATCACCACGCTTCCCCTTGGCCCACCCGTCTCATGTTTTTTGACCTCTTTTCTCCCTCCTTCCTCCTATGCCACACCACGCTCTGATCACAATGGACTTCATTTACAAGCTCTCTCTCACCACTGGGCCTCTGGCTGAAACACACTTTCCCACTCCCTTCTTTGTCCAGTTTATGCTACTCACCATTCAGGTCTGGACAGGAATGCTACCTCCACACAAATGCATAGTAAAGGGGCTCCTGGTACTGATAGACCCCTAAAGACCATGTATTCCACAATCAGGCCATTCCTAACCCGGCACTGTTTATAATCACCTCTAGTGCAACTTCCTGGCAAAATGTGCCAGGCCAGGGACCCCACCGCCTTCTTGTTGCTTAGGCAATGCCAGCCAAAGGGCTCATGCTGAATGAACGATGAGGCAGGCACCAGACCAACAGCTCTCAACCACCTGGGTGCTGACCACCTCTAGGGGGCAGGCGGAGAACTGGGGGCATCTGGAGCTATCAGGACAAAGGGTGACAGTGGGGGCAGGCTGAATGTCCCCACACTATGAGGAGCTGGCCACAGGATGCTGGGGAGCCTCTCAGAGCAGCACTGAGCCAGGTTGTGTTTCCTTCCTTCCGCGCGCAAGTCTCATAATGGCCTCCCTCCCCCACCCCAATCCTGACAGGGAGATCTGGGCCTTCCTTGTCAGATTCTGGCTGACACCCTAAGTGGCTGGGCTGGGGGAACCCTCAGGCTGTAAGATACCCAGTGAGCCCCAAGCTAAAGTAGCATGACCCAGGATCATTTAGAAGCAAGTGCCCCTGCCCTGGGAGCGCCTGGCTACTGGCCTATCCCGGCTGGGAAGGGAAAGACAGATGGGCCCTTCGTGTGGAGAGGAGGCCTGGGATCCAGAACCTTTATGTGGTTCAGAACAGTTGCTTCCCTGCAGGGATGCAAGCACTGATGGTGTGGGGAAGGATGAGAATCAGGAAGAGGGCTGAGTACACAGCCCCGAGCCCCTTCCTAGCAATGCTGTGTGACCTTGGGCCAGCTCCTGCCCAACCGGAGGATATCATCTGTGTCTTAAGGTCCTTCAGTTCTGAGTCTGTGGCTCTATTCTTCCCCTCCCCCGATCCCAAACACACCCTGTGTGATTTATGTCTACTATTCCAGTACGGGTTCCATCTAGAAGCCAGCTTTGTTATGGCTGACAGGTCATGCAAGGGGTAAAGGGAAGCTGGCCGAGCACAGCCTCCTAAAGTAGCTCTTGGGCAAGGCCAATGCGCCAGAATTCACATGGGGAGGTACCCAGGGTGTAAGGTGGGCGGACAACTGCTGGTTTGGGAATAGAGGGGACCAGGCTGCTCCAGGGTTAGGGCCTGTGCTCAGTGAGGCCTCTCCCTAGGAACCCGGGCAGCCACCAAGTGTTCTAAAAAAAAGGGGGGAGGGGACTCCCAGAGAAGGGGTACACCCTGGGACAGGGGCAGGCGAGTGGGTGGGAGCAGAGGCAGGGCGGGGTTGGCCTCTTTGTTCTGAGCCACCAGCAGAATAATTCCTGGTGTAGTCAGGGGAGCAGACTCTCCCGGAGATCAGGTGACCAGGGTCCCTGGGGGCACAGCATAAAGCAATGCACTATGGGGTGGGAGTGGCTGCAGGCTTGCAGTGCAGGAAGGAAGCCCATGGTCCAGGCAGGGGATGAGAACCTGCCAGCCGCCCCAAGTTCAAAGTCACCTCCAGCTTCATTCCCCGCCCAGCGCCAGGCTTGCCCTACAGCTTCCTGGTGAAAACCCGGCCTCCCCATTTTGAAGATGATTCTGGAATCTGAAAACCTTCAGGATTAGCTAGCCAGCCAGTCCTGAGGACCCCAAACCTTGCAGAGAAACCAGTGATGTGGTGGGGATGGGTGCCAGCATCTAGAGGTTGAGGGAGCAGAGAAAGGGGAAGTCGTCCTGGAGGCTCCAGCACAGACACATCAGCGCCGTGACAGGTGCTCCGGGCCCACCTGCTCCCCACCTGGGGGCTGGCAGGGAACATCTCCTCGTGTCAGAGAGAGAGCAGAGGACGGCCTCAGACCCCAAGGCCGAAATCACCAGACCTCCTCCCTCTACCTCCTGCAACCTCACCTAGAACCACAGCCCTGCTGTAAGTAAGCCCAAGGTCTGTAAAGTAAGAAGAGAAAGGCAGCTGCACCTCTCCCTCTCCCCAACCTAAGGCAGGACGGGGGGGCAGGCTAACACAGGACTGAAGCTGAAGTCTGCATGCAGAGAGGGGCCCCCTGGCTGAGCAAGAGAGGATGCTGGGTCAGCAGGATGGAAGGGAGTGAGCCAAGTAGCCAATGAAGGGACTGTGACCTCTGCCATAGCACCCAGGGACGAACTCAGCACCAGGGCCTATATCTGGCATGTAGCAGGGGCTGAGCAAAGATGTGGGGGTTCAACAGAGTGTGTGTGTGTGTGTGTGTGTGTGTGTGTGTGTGTGCAGGGGCTCCCACTCAGCTGGTGCTCAAACATACACTGTGTGAGTGAGTGAATGAATAAATGGGGGAGTGGGGGTTGAGATGTAAGAGATAATGGCGGGGTCTCTGAGAACACTCAGGGAAAATCTGAGTGTTAACAAGAGGCCCAGGACATTCCACTTGGAGTCCCGAAGGTACAGGAAGCTGAGGCTGGTCAGCCTTCCCCAGCCTGAGCTCAGACAGCAGCTGAGGCTGACACCAGGCTCACAACCACCCCCAGCCCTGGCCAACGCCTTGACTTCGATCTTATGAGGGACTCTGAGTCAGAACCACCCAGCTAGACTGTTCCAGAGTTCTAACCCTTGGAAACTGGGACTCTCAATTGTTTTAAGCTGCTGGTATTAGGGAAACATTGTTAGATGGCACTAGGTCACTAATCTAAAGACCCGAATGTGGTCCCTGTGGTTCCTATGAGGAACAAGACTTCTGCCGCACCCTGACTTGGCTGCTTCTCAGAAAATACTCCATGGCCACAGGCACCAGAACTTGGAAGGCAGGACCCCCAGAGGACGTGGACTCACCCAGTTCAGTGGGCTTCAGCAATTCATCTAGCATGTTAAAGAAGGGCAGCTTCACCAGGCGCACTTCTGGCTTGAGGGTCTTGGCAGGCAACCGTCCGAGTCCATTTAAGTACTTCCCATAGAGCACAGGGTAGTCAATGTTGGGGCCTGTGAGTGGAGTCCTGGGCACAGTGCTGGCCCGTTCGTAGGTTGAGTGCATGGTCAAGGGGTCCAGGGGCCGGTGGGGTTGGGAGACGGGTTCTGAGCTCTTCTTGGCGTAGCGTGTCTCGTAGAGCTCCTTGATCTTCTTGAACAGCTCAGGGCTACAGTCAAACTGGACCAGCTGGAGGGCCCGGGTGACAAGTTCGTGCTTAAGTCCACTCTTACTCCGGCCGACGAAACCCAGGAGCATCTGAAGATCGGAGACTCGAAAACTCATCACCATGTTCTGGGAAGAGCAACCACAGACACATGTGATCAGAGGGAGTGGCTGCCAGAGTCAGGGGCCACCAATGGGGCATGGGGGCTTCCCTGAACTGCCTGGGCCGAGTCGGGGGGATAACAAAATGAGGCCCTTGTCAGCTACCACCTGATCCCATGCTCCCTCCCCTTTCATTCTGGCTGGTGCGAGTGGGAGCCCAGGGCGGCTTTGGTATCAATCCCACTTGGCCTGGGCTTGATCCCACTTCCACTGACGCTCACCCTTCACATGCTGCCCCCTCCCAGCTCAGCCCTGCTGCCCTCCTCCTCCTCCATTCCTCAGCATTGCCAACACAGCACAAGCTCTTCTGACTGCCCCCACCCCCGCCTTCTATTTTAGGTTCTCTTTTCACATCTTCAGGCCTAAAAGCATCCCAGGGCAGGAACTGGGAATCCTGTTTTTCCACAAACAGCCTCAGCCACTCCCAAAACAGAGCACACTGATGGCCTTTCTGACCCTCAGTCTCTTCATTGGGATGTCAGAAGGGCCTGATGAGGTAACTCATGTAAAGCAGAATAAATGTGCAACCAATGTCAGCCACAGATATGTTTTCCCTTTGGTCTAGACCAGTGATGGCGAACCTATGACACGCATGTCAAAGGTGACACGCGAACTCGTGTTTTTGGTTTTTTCTTTGTTAAATGGCATTTAAATATATAAAATACATATCAAAAATATAAGTCTTTGTTGTACTATGGCACCAGAGTTAAGTTAGGGTTTTTCAAAATGCTGATACTCTGAGCTCAAAAGGTTCGCCATCACTGGTCTAGACTCTAGAATAGTGGTTCTCAACCTGTGGGTCATGACTCCTTTGGGGATCGAACAACCCTTTCACAGGGGTGGCCTAAGGCCATCCGAAAACACATATATAATTACATATTGCTTTTGTGATTAATCACTATGCTTTAATTATGTTCCATCTGTAACAATGAAAATACACCCTGCATATCAAATATTTACATGATGAGTCATAACAGTAGCAAAATTAGTTATGAAGTAGCAACGAAAATAATTTTATGGTTGGGGGTCACCACAACATAAGGAGCTGTGTTAAAGGGTCGCGGCATGAGGAAGGTTGAGAACCACTGCTCTAGAGGATGATAGCCACAACTTAATACTAATCACCTGCTGGGAACTGAGCTGGACATGTCATTATATACTTAACTTTGACTCTTAAAACATCCCCCAGGTTGGTGTGAGCTCCACATTACAGCCAACATTCAAACCCAGGCCCGACTGATGCCAGGAATTGTTCATCTCTACTACACTGTCCCCAGCACTGACCTACAGCTGAGCACTTTAGCTGATCATTCCAGCAGGCTTTTTCCATCTGGGCAATGTGGACAAGTGAGCTGGATTGTCCTCTCTAGGGGCTGTCCTGGACATTGTGGGGTGTTAAGCAGCATCCCTGCCCACACCCACTTGATGTTAGGAGCACCTCCAAATCCCAATCATGATAATCACAATGTCCCCCAGACATCTTCCAATATCCCCTGGGGGCAGGATCAGCCCCAATTAAGAACCAAACCCTAGCCCAGTGATGGTGAACCTTTTGAGCTCAGAGTATCAGCATTTTGAAAAACCCTAACTTAACTCTGGTGCTGTGTCACATATAGAAATCTTTTGATATCTGCAACCATAGTACAACATGGACTTATATTTTTGATATTTATTTTATATATTTAAATGCCATTTAACAAAGAAAAATCAACCAAAAAAATGAGTTTGCGTGTCACCTCTGACACGTGTGTCATAGGTCCACCATCACTGCCCTAGCCGGTTTGGCTCAGTGGATAGAGCATCAGCCTGTGGACCAAAGGGTCCCAGGTTCGATTCTGGTCGAGCCTCGGTTGCAGGCTCCTCCCCCTCCCATGTCCTGGGGCCCTGGTCAGGGTGCATGCAGGAGACAACCAATCAATGTGTTTCTCTCACATTAATGTTTCTGTCTTTCCCTCTCTCTTCCACTCTCTCTAAAAATGAATGGAAAAATATCCTGGGCTGAGGATTTAAAAAAAAAAAAAGAACCATGGGTCTGAGAAGAAGGCTCTGGGAATCCAGCAGCTGGAGAGGCTGTTAACTGAACTGTGGCAAAGTGATGAGGTCTGGCAGGGTCCCTCCAACCAAATCAAACCAAACACAAGAGCTCATTGATCCCAATGTTTTCTTTGGGGTTGCCTGAAGATACATTCCCTCTGTGAGACTCTGGGACACCAAGGGGAATGAGAGTTCCCCAATATGCTTCATAAGCAAAGTGTCCCAAGAGGATGGGCCGGCAGAGTTTCAGATCACCCATGGTGAGCCCTGACGCTGGCCTGAATGAAATGTGGTGGGGAAAAGACACTTCCAGGGGGAACAGAAAAAAACACACACACAGTACAAGTGACAAGAGTGGATATGGAAAGCTGGCGAGCATGGGGCAGGATAGCACCCAAAGAAACCAATAAATCGCTTAAACTAAACCCGAGAAAGTGTTATTGTTGGAGGTTGGTGGGAACCCTGCCAGGGTTTATGTAGCAGCCTCAATCCAGGAGACATGGATGTTTCCCGTTTCCTGGCTATTTAAGGGTGAGACATGGAGTCTGACTCGGGAGCCCTGCGTTCAAAACCAGATTCTGCACGAGGTTCCCAGATGACCCTGGGTCTGCTATCAGGTTTCTCTGCACTCTGGGCTCCTCATTTGTCAGCGCAAGAGCTAAGATTCCTTCTATCGGTACAACACCAGGCTCACGCTGATAACAGAGGGGGCTGTCCAGTCCTGCCTGCAAAACCTCAAGGGGGAGCGCTTTTCTGCTGAAGGGTCTTCCTCCTACTCCTGCACTATAGCTGTGGAGTGGAGGGTCTATCATGTGCCAACTACTACAGGGGAGTTCTCAGCCACTCATTTCACAAGGACTTGAACATTATATAGGCGAGAAAACGGAGGCTCCCAGAGGGAAGTGGTTGGCCCACGGCCTCCCTCCCTGTGTGGCAATGACAGGACTGGCATTTGGACCTTCCACTCACACCCAGCTGCCTGGGGGCCTGGAAGGACCTTCACTCCACAGCACACCCCGGCCTAAGTACCTAAGCAGTCTGCTGGTCCTCAGAGTCCAGAATGCTTTGAAACAAAGAGGCGTCACCTCTCTCAGCCTGACTTCCTACCTTGATCAGAGAAAAAAGGCTCACAGATTTGTTTCTTCAGGAAGAGGCCCAAGGCCGATGAGGGGAGAGGCGCTGCCATGTGCAAGCTGATGGCCTCCCATGGAGCCACAGGCAGGTGGGCTTGGCCTTTCTGAGTCCAACCACAACACAGCTCCTGACGCCATCCTACCCCTGGAAGCCCCCTCCCTGCCCCAAGGCATAGCCTCTTCCACCCGGTTAGACATCTGGAGCTCTGGCACCAGCATCCGGGGACACACCCCTCAAGCTGCCACTCTGATTTCTAAGTAGCTGCCACCAGGGAGGAGCCTGCCCTTGACACTGGGGGGGGTAGGGGGTGGGAGGAAGGGTTGGGACAGGGGCACAAGCATACAGGAGGAAGCCCCAAGGGCTTGACAGATCACCTCCTGCTGAGGCTTCATCCTGCCCTTGCCGGCCCCTCAGATCTGTGTTTATAAACAGCACCAGGCCACAAGGGCTTCCAGAGTTGCAGCTAGCTGTGTGGAGAAACATCAGCCTCCACAGAGTAACTGAGCTTAACTTAACCCCTTTCCAGGTATTGAGCATGGGAGGAAAGTTAAAGCCCCTTTCTCCAGGAAATAGGAGATGGGTACAAACTGCTACAAGGTATCCCAGGGAGTTCACAGGCCGACTCCGCCTCCCCAATTACAGGGAAAGCACGTCACAATCACCGCAAGAGACTGAAGGGGAAAGAAAGCTCCCTAGGATGAGCAAGTCGTGCTGCAGACTCAAGCCCCCCTGAACGGAGGCTAGTGTTTTAGAGAACTTGAAAGAAGGGTCCACTTAATTTAACTGGGTTGGGGGGGGGGGGGGGCCCAGCCACCGGAGGGTCAAGTAGAGTTCATTGGATCATATTTCAAGGCTCTGGTTGGAATAAAAAAGACTTCAGACCCTACCCTCTGTCTGGGAGGGTGGGGGCCCAGAGTCACACTAATGGTCCCTCCAGGAGATTAAATTTCAGGGCTCCAGGGACATCAGGCCTGCAGGCTGCCACCTTGGGCTTGCAGAGTTCAGACCTCTCTACTTCTCTAGAACAAGTTTCAATTTCTCCAAACCCTAGAGAAGTGCAGAAGTGTGTGTGGTGTAGGTCTGGGGGAAGGGAGGGTAATACCCTATAATCACAGAACCTAGAGGGCTGCATTTCAGATCCCAGGGGGAAGTGCAGGGAGATGTAAGGGGAGCGGAGAGTGAGAGACAACATTTACAGGTCAAGACGTTGGGGAGGGGAGACCAGCAGGGGGCAAGAGGCAGTGCTTCAGTCCAGTGAAGAACGTTCCTTAACTTCTCGGGGAAGAAGGGGAGAATCATAATCTAGTTGAGGCAAGGGTTCTGGAGCCTGACCTCGGAGAGGCACCTGGGAAAGGTGTATCCCTGGGGTGGGGAGGCTCCCAGCTTAGTCCTAGGAGTATTCACAGGGGTCCCAAGCTAGGAGGGGATGGTATCTACGGGATGTGGAATCTGGACCCCAAACTAGAGCACGGGGAGGGAGGAGAGGCACCGGGGAGCTGTCCTAAAGAAGCCTATCCTGAAACCAACCAGGACCTCCAAGGACAACGTCACAGACCAGCAGAAAGAGGAGGGGAGTTCAGGAACCAGAGCTGGGTGCATAAAGGAGTCTAAAGCGCTGGTTCTGGGACTGTGTGGGGAGAGTGCTATGATCTGAGGAGGCTCACTGGGGAGTGGAATATAGGGAAGCATCGGGAAGCATCCAAGATTAGGGCCTGATGCCGCGTGTGTGAGGGTTAGAGACCCCAGGAGCAGAGTCCAAAGCCTCACAGATGCTGTCCGAAGGGGAAACAGGGAGGAAAGAGGGAGAGCCCGGTGCCCCAAACGG